CTTGCTGCAGTTTAAGTCCTTGTTCTGTCCTTTTTCATTCACACTCATCCTTCTCTTCTGTTTTTTTCTTTTTCATTCTCACAATTTTATTTTCTCTTTCCCCTTCCTACCTCTCTTCTTTCTTTCTTTCTTTCTTTCTTTCTTTCTTTCTTTCTTTCTTTCTTTCTTTCTTTCTTTCTTTCTTTCCTTTCCCCCTACCTCTCCCCACCACTCCCAACGGCTGTTTCCAAGCAACCCCCTTTGATCTCCGTGGGCCCGGAGACAGGCAAACGCTCTAGGATCCTGAGGGCTGGGGAGTTCCTTGTTGTAAGAGGCCTCTCTCTGTCGCCTTGGGAAGTGGGGGGCTGGTGGGGGGAGGGGCTCTCCGCTCCAGAGGCCCCAGGCGGCACAGGCAAGACTAGAATTTCAAAGGCTCCGCAGCGCTCTTTCTAGCCAGCGTGGCTCTAAGTCACAGAGAGACTTGGCAGTGCAGAGCGGAGAGTCCCAGGGCTGGCTGGACGTTTGGAGGGGAAGGTGCTCAAGAACAATATCCAGAGATCCAGCTTTATCGGGAGAAGAATCCCCTGTGTGGTTTGCACGCCAAATGCATTTTTTCGGCTATAAAGATTTTTTTGAGTTGGGGGAAGAATCAGGATGCATAGGAATTTACATCTCTCAAAAACTTTACCGGTTTGCCCTAGCTTGTCTAGCAGCTCACATTGTCCTCCCTTTACAGGTGGGGAAACTGAGGCATGGAGAGGCTAGTGAGCTAGTAGCAAAAGCAGGAATTCAACCCAGGGCTAAGTATAGAGATTGGAGCCAAATTAACAAGGAGGGCAGTCCTATGCCTGGATTCCTAGCCTAGGTCTTGGGAGATTTGGTATCCCTGTGTGGGCCTGGCCAAGTCACGTAGTCGTTCTGTGCCTCGGTTTCCCCATCTATGCAATAGAGGTAACCCCAGTGCGCTGCCTCAGAGAGGTGTTGTGCAGATATAAACATCTTAAGCATTGTGGCAACGAGGCCATAAAAGTATCTGAGAAGGAGACGGATTTGCTACTGGTTGGGCTGAATGAAACAGGAGACTTTTGGGAAAAAAAATCAGGAAAATCATTGATAAGAACTTTGAAGTTTTCCCCTGGCAATCTTTTTAATTTCAAAAAGAATTCAAAATGAATTGAAACGTTGATTTTAAAAGATAAATAAATGAAGGGAACAACTTGGAAAATGTCTCTGAATTTCCTCCCACTTCTGTTTCCCTGGATATTGTTTTTCTCTTTATCTCCGGAGGAGGGACACATGATTCATTCCTTTTCCAGAGCCCTGTGTAACATGAGTTTGCTGGGTTCTCAGCCTGGTTTCCAGCATTAAGGATTTTGTGAGATAGGCATCAACTGAATCCTAACACTTCTGCTGAGAACTTCCCCCTGACTTTTTCTCCCTTTAATTTCACTGTAACAAGCCCAGGCAGGGACGGATTTACAAGGAAACATACCGGGCTCTGGCACAGGGCCCCCTTAGTGACATGGGGCCCTGTGGGGCTGGGCAGTCCAGCACCAGGTCCAGCACCCCCACCCCCACCATGCAGGATGCAGCTGCTCTGTGGGTGGGGAGAGCCAGTCCCTCTACAGCAGTGGTCCCCAACCTTTTGGGGTTGCTGGGCGCCTGGAGGCCGGGCCGCTCATGCACCGGGCGCACGGAGGCGGGGACACACACATACACACATGGAGCTGGGGCCACCCATGCACTATGCGCTCCTGCGCCGTGCGCCCAGGGCAGGGGGCTGCCCATATGCCGTGCGCCCAGGTCTGGAACATCCCATGTGCCGCACGCCCGGGGCCGGGGCCGCCACCGCCCATGTGCTGCGCACCAGGGGCCGGTGCCACCCCTGTGCTGCACACCCAGCTGGGGGGGCTACTCATGCTCTGTGCACCCAGGGGCAGGGCTGCCCATGCTCCGCGCGCCGGGGGGTGGGGCCAGCCCTGATCACTTGGCAGGCACACTGAAATGGCCCTGTGGGCACCTTGGCACCCACGGGCACCACGTTGGGGACCACTGCTCTACAGAGAGGGCTGCGTGGGAGCAGGAGAGCAGGGAGCCTCACCTGCAGGCTGCAGCCTCAGGAGAGCCAACAGGAGGCAGCAAGCAGTGTGAACCTGGGCTGAATGGCTTCAGAGGGGCACGGGGCAGCCCACCCAACAG